AAAGATATAATCCAGAATAATACTGAGCTATAGATTGAAATATTTTTATAGCAGCCATTCAGATACTCTCTGAGTATATGTACATAATATGTGTTAACTCACATGTAAACACAAGATACCAAGCTCACATGTAAACAAACAAACACATAATTTACCAGGATCTAATCAGTAGTGTATTCTTTGGAGTTTTAAAATATCAACATAATCATAGAGAAACTAGTTTAAAACTTTCAAACATTTACAGTCAGACTGAGTGTTACAAATACAGCATGATTGTGTTCCTATTTTAGGTCTTGTATACAATATATTTTGAGATACACGCAGAAGGATGTGTGATCTTTTTAGGTAAACTTACTAGTATGTATGTCCATTTCACCAAGCTCAATCTGTCGATGTGTTTTAACAACATCAAATGGCAGAGTTAATACAGCTGCAACCTACAAAACAAAAGTCTATTTTTAAAAATTAACAGAATGAACCAACAACATATAAGGCAGGAGACTAGTTTATTCATCAGAACGTAATGCAAGAACTTCAGATTAAATCTACAACAATCCCATCAGCATTCTATTTGGTAAACAAGAAAACTGATCTAACAGAGAATATTTACATAAGTGAGCAGAACGCACTATTAAAAAGTTTCAAAAGAAAAAAAAAAGTTGTGCAAATTGCTGGAACACTTGAAAACTACATGTGACACTGCAAGAAAAGTTTCATCCAACTGGTGGAAGAACAACTGTAATTAGGTCGTTGCTTCTGCAGTACGAGCAGCAGTGTAAGTCATGTTGGACAAGGGTTAACGTTTAAGAGGTACGATATCAAAAATACTATAGCCAAAGGCATTGACTTATATCTTTTATATCTCTCTTATATCTTTAAATCATGGAACACGAAGGTTTACTTTATATACAGTATTCAGATAGAATGTTCTGGTAAGAATGTAAGACCAACACTAATGTGAGATACAAGTTCAAGGAATTACTACACGTAACTTATTCTAAAGCACAGTGTGTTTATTACAACAACATCCACACACACACACACTGCAACAAAGTTCTTTCCTTTGACGTTGTACAAACACAAATACGTGCAAACTCCAGAAATTGTATCATAATTAAGGAGAACGTACGTGGTTCCCACTCCTCGACAAACATCACAAATTTGTAAATCAGTTGGAAATTTAAAACAGACTTAGTGGGTAATGATATCTGGTTGAGTATCTATTCATTGTTAGAAATTGTTTACAAAAGGTAGCATACCGATCATTGTAATATTTTATATTTGTAAATAATTTAAAACAGACTTACAGTTCCAGCTGTGCCTCCAGCAGTAAAACTGAACCAAAATCCAGGCTGTTCCATCTGAAACCTGAACTTTAAATGTTCATAACTGGCCCAGTATATAGCTGTGAATAAAAAAATCCAGAATAAGTAGGTTTTTTTTTACTTTTTAAAACTAGTTTTTGTATGTTAAAAAAAGGCAATTTTTAAAACTGTTTTTGTATGTTAAAAAAGGCAATTTTTAAAACTGTTTTTGTATGTTAAAAAAGGCAATTTTTAAAACTGTTTTTGTATGTTAAAAAAGGCAATTTTTAATACTGTTTTTGTTTATTACAAAATAATTTTTAAATAATTTTGTAAATGAATAGCTTTCACATACAATAAGAAAACTACTGACATGAAAAAGGTACATCTCTGAGAATAGTTGGTCCTAATCCTCTCCACAGTGACAGAAGACCTTTCAGTTGTACCAAACTACGAATGGCTTTTCCAATTTCTGAATGTGAGAAGAAACAAACTCTCGGGTTAGTGAAGACTCTAATAATCATTTAATCTGTCTGGGAATAAATATCTAAATGAACAAATTCTAAATTCATCTATACAATTGAATTTAACTAGTATAATCCAACCCCTGGTGGCTCAGTGATAAAAATGATGGCTTCTAATGCTAAAATTTGTTTGGTTGGTGTTTTATGGCGCAAAGCAGCAAGGCTATCTGCGCCAAACACCAGTAAAAACAAAGAAAGTAAATTAATGTAAAAATACAGTGAGTTAAAACCAATACATGTCGATAAAAGACTTATATGTAATTAAAAAGACGTATAGTGTGTAAAAAATTAAAAATACAATCTAATCGGACAGTGTCACCATTACCAATGACACTGTCCAGCGTCAGGGGTAAACTTTTAGATAAAATATGTCTAAAATGGTGCCACCGCTCACGGTCGTAACGACGGCATGACAGTAAAATGTGGGCTATTGTGACTTGAGTGTCACAATGGCTACACATCGGTGGGTCAATACCCGATAAAAGAAAACGATGGGTTAAAAACTATGACCAATGCGTAGCCTTGCCAAAACTCCTTCCGATCCTTACGGAAGCAAGACGGCCAAAGACCAACAGAAGGTTTGATCTAGAGAAGCTTATTATGGCGTTGCTCACTCCAAGTTGACTGCCAACTAGCACGAAGCCGCGCCTTGAAGACAGGACCGTAGTCCATGTATGGGACAGGCACGGCCGTGATGCCACCAGAGCAGACGGACTTAGCTGCGGTGTCAGTGAGCTCGTTCCCGTGAATACCGATGTGGCCAGGGATCCAGAAAAACAGGATGGAAATAGAAGATAGCGAAAAGTGGGCCAATCAGTGTTGAATATTGATGAGAACAGGGTGAGAACTAACGTTAAGCGATTCCAGGGCCAGTAGAAAGCTAAGAGAATCCGTGTAAATAGTACAATTACTGTTACGATAACTCCTCGTGAGGAATTCAAGGAAGCGTGGGGAGTAACCTCAATAGGTATATCCCCAATGGCCTTTGAACTCAAGAGAAGTTCACTGTGCTTAGGATGGAAAGTTTCTATTAAGATGTCTCCAGAACATAGCTTCTTAACTGACTTTGGAGAGCCAGCAAGCCCCTCTAAGCCCTTCTGAATAAAAAAGGGGGAGATTTGCCCTAAAGATTTATCGGACAGTGAATGCATGATCAAAAAGCGAGATACAGGTGTACTGTGTGATGGAGACTGCTGTTCAGAGTCTTCTAGGCATGGTCATTTACCAATTAGCAGATTTTTAACATTTTTTTTATTTGGAATGGGGGGGATCCATAATTAAGGAGAAAGATTCTGTGCCCACTGACCCCACCCGCCATGGAGTCTTACGAGGGGATGCACTACAATGTCAAACAAGGACACTGCAGCAACGCCAGGGTTTCGTGAGCACTATGCCCAAACACCAGTATCAGACACGATGTCCACCAACACTGGTACTCAGTTGACCCTAGCCCCAGTGGACCAGCCGATTGACCCTGGGGGGGGGGCACCCCAAGGCCACCCGTCTACAGGAATTCAAGGTTAAAATGGTGTGTTGCAGTGCCCCCAGACACCACTCAACCACCAGGATCCTCTCCTCCCCTTCACGGTTCGCCACGCATGGCAAACACGTGGGTGGATGTTTAGATCCCAGAGGAAGTAACTGAAAATACAGAACCTTCTCTGGGAGGTCCCCTCACCACGTACAGGAATCCACGTCGAGGGGACAATTTGTGAGAGAGAGAATGTAACAGGTGGGTGTGGCAAGTGGGTCTGATTTCCTAGTTAATGGTTCTGTAAAGAAATACAATTGAAGACTATAAAAATTATGCTTTGTTCGAGTAATATCTATATTATAATGAATAATTTAAATTAAATTCCTTACTTCTCAGAGGGTTGGTAAATAAATTAGAGAAGAGGGAAGACCTAGACAGAAAATGCCACAATTTTCATACTAGGGAAGATTGAGGACTTCTTAAAATATTTATTTATAAATTAAAAACTTAGAACTTATATAATATTAAAATTTCATTTGTTAACAATGATTTGATGCCAAGTTTATTCATACACAATGATAATAAAGTACTTTAGTTAAATTTCGGGATACTGGTACAGTTGCCATATAAATGCTGTCTTACGCATATTTGTAGAGAACAAGTTTTTTAATCTTTCAAGCTTAATCAAAAACAGTTTTGTTAATGAGAGGGAAAAAGTGCTAAATCTTGGTGAACTAGAAGGTCTCTCTGACTTGACTTTGAAATATAAAGGCATTTTCAATGTCAGAATCTGACCAGTGTTTCAACAACAAAAATTTTATTGAACTACATTCAATACCAACCTCTTTCATTTTTATCTTTTTCTGCTCTTCTTCATACTGTTCCTGTAGTCTAGCTCGTTCCTGAGCAAGCCTTTTCTCCTCCTCCTGTTCTTCTAGTATCCTTCTTTGATGCTCTTCATGCTGTTTCCTTCTCTTCTCCTCCATTTGAGCTTCAATAGCACGCTGATACTCCAAGGCTTTTTTTCTTCTTTCATCTGCTTGGAGAAGAACATCTTTAACCTGTGAAAGTCCCTTTCCTCGAACGAAATTTCTGAAAAAAATGTCTACAATATAATAATACAGCTTCTGAAAGCCACAGAGACAAATTTTACTATATTTTTAATAGTCACAAGAAAAGTTTTTGTCAATACATTCACATGGGTGGAAGCATAAAATTTTGCCAATACTAGAAATTACGAAACATTTACAAATGTTTTTTTTGTTTTTGAATTTCGCGCAAAGCTACACGAGGGCTATCTGCGCTAGCCGTCCCTAATTTAGCAGTGTAAGACTAGAGGGAAGGCAACTAGTCATCACCACCCACCGCCAACTCTTG